ATGAATGGATATTCCCAACTACTGATGGCGGACTCAACAACTGGATGGCTAAAGAATTCATATCAATCTCCTTCAGCCAGGAGTAATTGTTATTCCTATTTTTATTGCTTTAATAAGTTTGTCTGTATAATTTCTTTTTTTTTAAAATGACTTTAAACCATGTGCCTTTCCCGGGGCACAATGGTCCATTTGTTAAGGGTTGTCATTTCATATATCATATGCTCATTTAATGAAAACATTGGACGATTTTGCACTCAAATTTTGCACTCCTTGTCTTTATTTTATTTTATTGCATTTTCAAATAGCCATGTGATCTTACATACACACACACACACATTTGCAGATCCATATTCACTTCGGATCTCATTGACAACAATTCTGCTATTGTCGTTTATGACTTCAAAAATCCAATCTATCAAGCCGAAGACGAAGGTGAAGAAGATTGTGAGATACCTGGAGAACTCTTCAGACTCCTGATACAAGAGGAAAAGGCTATCCAACCGCACGAATAACCGATCGAAGTGATAAACTTGGGTATTGAGGCAGGTAAGACAAAAGTCATGATTGGTGCCAACCTGGAAGAAAGTGTCAAGAGCAGATTGGTTCAGATGTTGCACGAGTATGTTGAGGTCTTTGCTTGGTCATACGAAGACATGCCAGGGATCGATACAAATATTGTAGTTCATTGTCTGCTAATGAAAGAGGGTTGTTCTCTGATCAAATAAAAGGTTCATCGCATGCATCTTGATATGTCTAAGAAGATCAAGGCTGAGGTAATGAAACAAATCAATGCAGGTCTCTTGGTAGTGACGTTGTACCCCCAATAGGTTGCAAACATTGTTCTAGTACCGAAGAAAGATGGTAAGGTCCGTATGTGTATAGACTACAGGGATTTAAATAGGGAAATCCCCAAAGATGACTTCCCACTACCATATATTGATGTCTTGGTTGACAACACTTCTCAACACAAGGTATTCTCCTTCATGGATGACTTCTCGGGTTACAACCAAATCAAAATGGCACTTGAAGACATGGAGAAAACCACCTTTGTCACACAGTGGGGCACCTTCTGTTATAAGGTCATGCCTTTTGGGCTGAAGAACGCAGGCGCAACTTATCAAAGGGCTATGATGGCTTTATTTCATGATATGATTCATCATGAGATAGAAGTCCATGTTGATGACATGATAGCCATATTACAAACTGAGGAAGAGCACCTTGATCATATTCACAAGCTATTTGAAAGGTTGAAGAAGTACAAGCTGAGGTTGAATCCCAACAAATGCACCTTCAGGGTAAGGTCTGGTAAGCTCCTAGGCTTTGTCGTCAGTGGCCAAGGAATTGAGATCGATCATGCTAAAGTTAAAGCTATCTAAGAAATTCTAGCTCCTCATACTGAGAAGGAGGTCAGAGGTTTCTTAGGACGACTCAATTACATTGCCTGACTCATCTCTCACTTGACTGCTACTTATGAACCACTCTTCAAGCTGTTGAAGAAAGACCAAGTGGTAAAACGGAATGACGATTGTCAAATAGATTTTGATAAGATCAAAGAGTATCTTCAAGAACCTCCAATTTTGATGCCATCAGTCTAAGGAAGAACTCTGATCATGTACTTAACCATGTTAGAGAATTCAACAGGGTGTGTGCTACATGACGAGTCTGGTCGAAAAGAGCATGCAATATACTACCTTAGCAAAAAGTTTACCGACTGTGAAACAAGATATTCACTACTCAAGAAAACTTGTTGCTCTTTGGCATGGGCTGCTCGCCGGCTAAGACATTATATGTTGACTCATGCCACTTTATTGATCTCTAAGATGGTTCCCATCAAGTACATCTTTGAGAAAACAGCTCTCTCCAGAAGGATAGCTCGATGGCAAATGATCTTAACTAAATATGATATCGAGTACACTACACAAAAATCAATCAAAGGAAGTGTGCTGGCAGATCATTTGGTGCATCAAGCTATGGATGACTACCAATCTATGAACTTTGAATTCTCGGATGAGAATATCATGCTCATTACAGATTGTGAAAAGCCTGAACTATATGAAGGACCTTAGTAAGGATCTTGATGGACTATAATTTTTGGTGGAGCTTCCAACGCACTGGGTAACATAATTGGTGTTGTGATCATTTCCCCCGAAGGTTGCCATACGTCTTTCACTGCCAAACTCTGCTTTGAGTGTACCAATAACATGGATGAGTAAGAAGCATGCATCTTGGGCCTTAAAGCTGCTATTAACCTAAGAATCAAATTCTTAAGTGTATATGGAGACTCGGCTTTAGTAATCAGTCAAGTTAATGGAGAGTGGGATACAAAACATCAAAATCTTATCCCTTACAAAGAACTTTTACTCACCTTGATCCCGTACTTTGAAGAGGTTACCTTTGAACATATCCCGAGGAAATAAAATCAGTTGGCGGATGCCTTAGCTACCATGTCATCCATGTTCAAGGTCAAATGGGACAACAAAGCTCCCATAATTACTGTCGAAAGATTTGATGAACCGACGCACTGCTATGAGATTGACACTGATGATGTAGAGGGGAAGCCTGGGTTTCACAAAGTGAAGAGATATCTAGAAGCTCAAGAGTATCCTGAAGGGGCTTCAATCAATGATAAGAAATTCCTACGAAGGTTCTCTGCCAAGTTCTTCCTGAGCAATGGGATTTTATACAAGCGCAACAATGATTCAACCCTGCTTCATTTTATGGACAAGAAGGAAGCAGAGAAAATTATGGAGGACACGCTAGAAGGAATCTTTGGTACTCACTCTAATGGACATACTATGGCCAAGAAGATTTTGAGAGCTGGTTACTACTGGTCAACCATGGAAATCAATTGTCACCTCTGTTGTACCCCAATTTTTGACCTAAGATCCCATCTTTATATTTTGCATTTTAAGATAAGTCAAGGTCACGAAATACGGTCGGTTTTAACGTCTCACTTTCGATCTTTGACTATGCGAAGAAAGATCAAGTTTGCAAGTTGATTCAAAGCATTTCGATCAAAAGTCAACTCTTGCAAGTTCAATTTCAAACGGTCATAACTTCTTCAATTTTCAACGTCCTGAGGCGATTCTTTTGCAAAGTATCACAAATAGCGTTGTTTATGAGATTACTTCGAAGATTAAAGTTCAAGTCATGCCACATACGTTTTCTCAAGAACGTTTGTTTTTTTCTGCTGGGATAATTCATGAAACTGGAGTTTTAGTCCAATGATTCTTTGATTGCTTATGGACTACTTCAAGTCACTTTGCAATTGAATTGTAGCGATCATTGGATTAAGGTAGATTGTCGATTAAATTTCTTAAAGGCACGATTTACGCTATTGGTCTGTATTGTAAATTACTATGAGGTGAAGACGCGAATCAGGGTTGAGAATTCCTTGAATTCTTGTGGTTTGCAAGCTAACTTGGATTTGAGATTTGAATTAAGATTTGGATTCATTGTTGTGAAGTTTTCTTTCAAGTAACCAATACCATAAAGCCAAAATATCCGAATTTGTCAAATAACATTAGGGTTCTTATCATTCGACGGAGCAGTCGAGCATCTCAGCGAAACGAAAATGCTGTCACATAAGACCTTCATGATCAAGAAGAAATTGGCGAAGAAGATGAGGCAGAACAGGCCCATCCCTTACTGGATCCGGATGAGGGCTGACAACACCATCAGGTACAACACTAAGCGTCGTCATTGGCGCCGTACCAAGCTTGGATTTTGAGGTTCTTGCTTTCCTGAGTTTAATTTCATTAGGGTTTTTGTTGATTTTTGTTTAATTTAAGTAATACAATGGATATTATTGAATTGTAATGCCATATTTTTGAGCTATGAGAATTTATTGTTGTCAATTACTTGCTTAACATCTTTTTTAAAATCAATTGGGATTCTTTGCACTCTAATTTGAATTATTATACTTTTCGATGATTATTTTATTAGTTTTGATGTTTTAAGTAATGTCTAGCTGATCTATTTCATTGTTTGTACTGGTGTGTCCACTTTAGGTAGAGAAATTTTTTTCCTTTAGAGCAATTTTGTGTAACAAGACATACTAATTACCACTAGTATGCCATTAAATAGTTTCTTTTCTTTGTTTATACAATCTTGTTTAAGTAACATTCCGGGCACTGTAATATGTAAATCATTATCTTGACAGCCAAACTCCTTCAGCTGTTTACTATTTAAAATCTTGCACATTTCTATTTTGGTTAACATCAGCTTCTTCGTCTCAATAGAATTTGATGCATGGAGTTCGTATGAGTGGTTTTTGAATAATAAAATAACACAGGATCTTTACTTTCATTAGTTTGTTAAATTGTTGTGAACTTGTCAATTAGTATGCTGCTCCAAACCCTGCACATCAGTCCAAAAATAATGCCCCAAAACTGTCTTTTGTTTGCTGTCCAGAACCAACTGCTACAAACTCTGCCTTATAGTCCCAAAACTGTGTAAGATCTGTCCCAAAACCAACCTATGTTGCAGCAGTCAAACTAGCTCTGCTATGCTGTCCCAATTTTGCACAAGTAAGGAAAGCTTTAGCCTACACCAAAAAAAAGTAATAAAACAGTTATAACAAAACCAACTTTCACAACCATTTTCCCCCCAAAATTCATTTTGTTCCAGCTATAAAAGTAGTTCTAAGGAGAGGAGATCACAGGGGAGAAACACACAAAGAGAACAGAAAAAATTAGGAAAATTGTAACATGATTATGTACAAAAAAAAGCAGTAACACTCACCCAACAGACCTGCCAGCGCCAAATTCCGCAAGCTAACTCCATCTCTCCCTTTGCCCACACTACCGTCACCTCCCTTATTCCTCTCTCTGCGAAAACACCCTTCATCTTCACTGTGCGCTAACTACCCAGCCTCTTCAACATACAATATATACCCATTCTCTTCTCTCTCTGTTTTCTTCATTACTCTTACTTCCATCATCATCAACATCAACAACAAAAGCTTGTTTCACTGTGTTGTTTTAATAAGGATTTGGATTATGTGCAGTGGTTCAAAAAGTAAAATTTCTTCATCAGATTACGCTATGGAGAGTAAGCTTGAGAAGGGTATTCACAACTCATCGATATTGCTTGAATTGGTTGCTTCTGATGATTTCGATGCTTTCGTGAGAGAAGGGGAAGAGAAGGGTTTGGATGTGAATGAAGAAGGGCTTTGGTATGGTAGAAGAATTGGGTTGAAGGAGATGGGAGCTGAGAAGAGGACTCCTCTCATGATTGCTTCTTTGTTTGGAAGCATCAAGGTGGTTAAGTATATTGTTCTAACTGGAAAGGTTGATGTCAATGGAGTTTGTGGTTCTGATATGGTTACTGCTCTTCATTGTGCTGTTGTCGGTGGTTCGGAATTATCGTTTGAGGTTGTCAAGCTTTTGCTTGAGGCTGGGGCGCCGCTGCTGGTATTCAGGGTGGGTCTCAAATTTATGTTGTTGTTCACTATCAATGGCACACATTTAAAATTAGGGTTAGTGTCTTTATATTGAGTTTGGGCCTAAAGGGCCGATAACATGCTTATACACACCCTTTCTATTTCTTTATACTTTTAGATATTTAGGTTAATGCAATTAAATTCCTTTTAATTAGTTATAAAAAAATAAAAAATATATTAGTAAATCTTATAATTAATTTAGTTTAATATTAATTTAGAATTCTTTAATTAGTTTAGATTTATTTTATAACTTTAGAATTTTATTTCATTTAGTAAATTTTAGAATTTTATTTGTTTTAGTTTAGTTTAATAACTTTAGAATTTTATTTGATTTTATTTAAGTTAACTTTAGAATTTTATTTGTTTAGTCTTAGTTTAATAACTTTAGAATTTTATTTGATTTTATTTAAGTTAACTTTAGAATTTTATTTGTTTGGTTTTAGTTTAGTGACTTTAGAATTTTTATTTGATTTAGAATTAGTTTAATAAATTTATAATTTTTATTTGATTTAGAATTAGTTTAATAAGTTTATAATTTTTATTTAGTTTAATAACTTTAGAGTTTTTATTTGATTTAAATTTAGTTTAGTAGTTTTAGAATTTTCATTTGTTTTAGATTTAATTTAGTAACCTTAGGATTTTAATTTAATCTAGATTTAACTTACTAAATTTTAAAGCTTTAGTTTAGTTTAGATCAAATTCAATAATACTAGATTTTTTTTATAACCTTAAAATTTGTAATTAGTTTAGAATTATTTTAGTAAGTAATTTTTAATTTAGTTCGAATAACTTATTTAGATAATTAGTTACATTCTCTTTTATTCTATTTAAATATCTTTGTCATTTTAATTTCTCGATGCTTTTGGTCATTAATCTGTTTCATTAGATTTGTTTTTCTTGTGAATTTTTGAATGTTTATACTTTGTGGATTCATCTTATTTTACTTGCTCGATTTACTCCAAGGGAAAGATTTAAATTTGTTGACTTCACGTCATCAAATACATCTCATCCGATCGTGCGAACACCCTTTTTTTCATTTTTTGTTTGTTTACTATTTTGCTAAACTCAAGATAATTTTCCCAAAAGACTCCATTTTCAAACTCACCTTTTTAAGTCAAAACTTCGACACTAGGTCGTCGTATCTTCAAAAATCTCGCCAACACCTATTTTTTTAGCCAAACGAACAATTTTAATCAAACAAACAATTTTAACCAAAAACAGATATTTCAAAAGGTTCCTGCGGAGTACCGCAGATGCATTGGGTGCTAATACCTTCCCATTGTATAACCAACCCCCGAACTCTCGATCTCTTTCAAAAACGCATTGTATTTTTATTATTTTTAAGTATTATTTTACATTGCATATTTTAGGGTTTTATTTCGCTCTTTTCCCTTTTCCCTTGGAAATAATAAAGCGCGGTGGCGACTCTTGCTTTTGTGAGTCAAGTTAATTAATAGCTTGATCTCCGATTTTCACCGCTACAACCTCCACTTGAAAACTTGCCATAAGTGTGAAATTTATGTTGATAAGGTTCACATACCTCCAATACCTTTGAATGTCATGACTACCCCTTGGCCATTTGCAATGTGGGGAATCGATATGATTGGATAAATCAAACCTACTTCCTCTAATGGACATCGTTTCATTCTTGTCACCATTGACTACTTTACTTAGTGGGTTGGAACGACTTCATTTGCCTCAGTTACCAAGAACGTCATGGCTCGGTTCATCAAGCATAACCTCATATATCGGTATGGTATCCCTGAGAGGGTCATCACTAATAATGGTACCAACCTCAACAACACCATGATCACTGAAATCTGCACGTAGTTCAAGATCAAGCATCACAAGTCTTCTCCATACAGACCTAAGATGAATGACTCAGTGGAAGCTGCCAAAAAAAATATAAATAATATTGTGCAAAAGATGGTGGTGACTACAAAGAGTGGCATGAGATGTTACCATTTGTTCTTCATGGCTACCGTGCTTCGGTGTGAACATCAACTAGGGAAACCCCTTTCCCTTTGGTCTATGGCATGGAAGTTGTCCTGCCTGTCGAAGTCCAAATTATTTCTCTAACAATCATGAAAGATGCAGACTTGAACGAAGATGAGTGGATTTAGACTAGGTTGGATCAGTTAAATCTAATGGACGAGAATAGGCTTGCGGTTGTTTGTCATGGTCAGATGTATCAAAAACATATGATTAAGGCATTCAATAAGAAGATCAAGCATCGAGTATACCAGGCTGGTGACTTGGTAATAAAGCGCATCATTCTACCATAAAATGATCCCAGGGGCAAATGGACTCCCACCTACGAAGGGCCATTTTTTGTCAAGAAAATATTCTCGGGCGGTGCTATGATGCTAACCACGATGAACGACAAAGATTTCCCGCACCCTGTGAATGCGGACATAGAAAAAAAATACTATGCATAAGAATGACCCGCTAGGTTGACATACCTAGGCAAAAATAAGGGATCCCAGTGAACCAAAAGGGTTCGGGAAAAAATTAGGGATATATACAAAAGATTGTACACTTGGCAAGTCGAAAACTTGAAAAGACGGCTTGGGCAAAAAAGAGTATCCTGGTGGACTGAAAACTTGAAAGGGTGGTCCAGGAAAAAATAAGGGATTAAAGCGTACGACTATGTCCTGTTGGATCACTTACAACCATCTTTATTACCAAGGTCAAAAGGTTAAATGGTTCAATCAACTTCTTCCGACGGTAAAGGATGAGATGTTCAAAGACATAGGGGAAATAATGGAGTTAGAACCCAATGATATCACTTCCACATGGCTATACATTTTGTTTTCACTTTGTACTCTTTTCATTTAACGACGACTTCCTCTTACAAGGATTTTCGTCTCTTTGTACAAAATCGTCTGTTTATAGGCCAATTGTCAATACAAATATACTTTAAAGTCCAAACTTTTTATTTTTTTCTGTTTTGCTTACAAAAACGTCCAATAACTAAAGTTGAATGAGCATATGCATATGAACATGATTAACTATTAACAAATATATACATAAGAACAAGAATTAACATTTACTCAAAACTCTAGGAACCGGGATGACACTCAAGCTGTCTGTAAATCCCTACAGAGTCCCTTTCATAAGACTATCCCCAGTGAAGTCGCCAGAGCCACTTCTATGAGGTTATCCCCACAGAGTAATCTTCACAAATAAGGTTACATTCCCCGTAATCTCCCCGATAGATTGCTCTAGCAAATAAAGGAGCATAATATATTTCCCGACAATATCACCAACCTACGGAGTTCCAATCAGTACAAGGCATGGAATTTCTCTTCCCCAACTGAGTTTGGTCCTCCAAAACTATAAAACCCCTACAGAGTCCTTCTCTTCAGCAAATTCAATTTCCCCCAGGAAAGTTTGTTCTTCAACAAGAACACTTATCTGGAAACCGGGTTTATCTCCATCAACAAGGGTTTATTTCCCCAACATGGTTTTTTTCTCGAACAGACTACAAATTCCCCAACTCAAGTATATTCCTCAGACTACTACAAATCGCTGACAAAATTCTTCTCCCCAGTAAAGTCATCACTATCCCCAGAAAGTTGCTGCAAAGCTTGGAATCTGACCAGATACCAGTTAACTTTATCTTCCCCAAACGATTCGGAAGTTTAACTATCTATTTTATCCCCAGTCAGGGTATATAAGAAATAAATTCCCCAATAGAGCAACAGACGACCAATGTTCCTAAACTCTACTCCCCAAATAGAAATCAATACATCCACTGTATATTTTCTCAAACAAGTAACCAGGAATCCCCAGTGGAAGAATTCTAGACAAGATTGAAGATACACAGCCATAGTCATGGATTTATTTTCCAAAACAAAGATACCGCATGGGTTTACAAATACACTTCAACAAAATTTCACATTCATTCATCATAACATATGCATAAGAAACACATATAGCGCAATCTCATTTATTTTGAGAACATCATTACACAATGCATTTCATACATCATGACATTGCATACAACTAACTCTTTACCTTTTCAGGAAAGATCAATCAAAAGACGAATATCATCAACAATTTTCAAACAATTCTAGATTAATTCCTGAAACAAGACGGGGCAACTATCCGGATAACCAGCCACAGATTAATCTCTGAAACAAGACATGGAAATATCTACATGATGGATACTCCATTCAAACATTTGTTGGTTCAATTTAAATCGACCAAAGATTTATTCTGATACTTTTCCAGTATAGACTTTTTTGGTTCAGTCTAAATTAACCAAAGATTTATTTTGATTCTTTTCCAGTTAAAGACAACACAGACATCTGCTGGTTCAGTTTAAATCGACCAAAGATTTATTCTGATACTTTTCCAGTAGACACTTTTCTGGTTTAGTTTAAATCGACCAAAGATTTATTATGATTCTTTTCCAGTTAAAGACAACACAAACATCTGTTGGTTCAGTTTAAATCGACCAAAGATTTAGTCTGATACTTTTCCAGTAGACACTTTTTCTATTTCAGTTTAAATCAACCAAAGATTTATTCTGATTCTTTTCCAGATAAAGACAACACAGACATTTGCTGGTTCAATTTAAATCGACCAAAGATTTATTCTGATTCTTTTCCAGTAGACACTTTTTCTGGTTCAGTTTAAATCGACCAAATATTTATTCCGATTCTTTTCCAGTTAAAGACGACACCAGACATATGATGGTTCAGTTTAAATCGACCAAAGATTTATTCTGATACTTTTCCAGTAGACACTTTTTCTGGTTCAGTTTAAATCGAATAAAGATTTATTCTGATTCTTTTCCTGTTAAAGACGGCACAAGACATCTGTTGGTTCAGTTTAAATTGACCAAATATTTATTCTGATACTTTTCCAGTAGGAACTTCTTCTAGTTCAATTTAAATCGACTAAAGATTTATTCTGGTTCTTTTCCAATTAAAGACGACACCAGACATCTGTTGGTTTAGTTTAAATTGACCAAAGATTTATTCTGATACTTTTCCAGTAGGCACTTCTTCTGGTTCAGTTTAAATCGACTAAATATTTATTCTGATT